AACCGGAAACTCGCTACGTGTCGTCGCTTCGTGACCGTCGTCGTGTCGTTCCCTTACTTACCTGTGTGTTCTCTTCTTCCATTTCTGAATCACGCTTTTCGAAATCACCCCATTTTTCCATCTTGCTACCGCATGACGGACGGTAGCGCGCGCGTGTTGTACTGTATTTATTGTGCGGAGTGGCCGGCATTCAGGTGCGCGCGTCTCTCTTCGCGCGATTGGATACAACCTGCGACCTCCATTCTACGACATCAATGAGTTTCCGACAAATCGTCTATTTCGAACGAAGCGAATTCGATCTCGAGGTCAAAAGTGTGGTGTATATTCCCCTCCCCCTCCCCGCTTAAACCCCGTACGCCCAAATATTTCCTCTACCTATTTGACGACACGGGAAGAAGAAGCGCGATAGAAATTAGCGACAACGTCGTGAAATATTTTTTTACGTAAAAATTGCGCGCGAAATGAATGTTTTTTTTTTTATTTTCGCGGAAAATTATGGAATAATAATAAATCCGTCCTACATTTCGAATAAAATATCGTCCGCGATACACACACACACACACACGCAACAATTCGAGGCCGAAAGATTGGCATCTTCCGCGATCAATAGCGCTGCACGATCTTGACGTGTGTATTGCATCGACATTACCGCGGCAATAGTTTATTATCAATGATCGAAACGACGCGGAAAAAAAAAAAAGGTCGCGAGACGAATTCGATCAGATCACGTTAGAAAATCCGCGGAATTATTTTTCTGCTCCAACAAATGTGACATAGGAGGTATATAATAATAATAATAATAATAATAATAATAATAACTTTATTGAGCTATAAATAACAATGATAGAAGCATGTACAAGAAATTTATTTATAAAATAATGAGAAACTCAAACGGTGCTTGCAGCATGATGCTGATTCTAAGCTCTACCGGTGAACAAATAAATAATAAGAGAATAGATAGCAAATGATAACTTTAAGTAAACAATAATAAGTGCGACAAGTTATAAATGATTGAAGATTATAAGACGCCATTGCTACACGGAAAGCTTGATTGAGAGTCAATAGCACGAATATTAGCTGGCAGGAAATTATAGTATTTTACTGCAGTATAAGAGAATATAATATAATAATAATAATAATAATAATAATAATTATTATTATTATTATATATAATTGTGACGCGAACGTTAAATATTCGCTTTGGTGTGAAATAGGCTCCGAGGAATTACAAATTAAATCTTACGTACGTATATTTTTTGAAACTAAGAATGAAGAGGCTAATATGAGCCATCTAAGATTAACATAGGCCAATACGAGCCATTCCGAGGTTGTTGTGCAGGAATAAGCGTGCATGTATATATATATATA